TTTCTTTTTAAAACAGTAATTTGCGTATGAATAAATATTGTTTTTCTTGTTATCACGTACTAAAAAAATAACCTCCTTTTTCATATGAATAAATTTCCTTTTTATCACATATTAACATAATAATAATATAAAAATTCTATATTTTTTTCACAATTTTTTGCCCTTTTAATCTGTTTACAAAAAAACAAATGGTTTTAAATCTTTACGTTATATCATTCTTTAAAATACTAATTTGCGTAGGAATAATTTACCTTTTTTAACGTACTAAAATAATCGCGGTTTTTAATCTTTACATTATATCCTTCTTTAAATCTTTCGTTCTTTTAAAATGGTAATTTGCATAGGAATAAAATATTTTTTAAAATAATCACGTTCCATCTCTTTATGTTTGCCATTTTTAAAATAACCTCTTTTCTTGTATGAATAAATTTCCTTTTTTATCACATATTTAAAAAATAATAATGATATCAAAATATAAAGTAAATTTTTATTTCTCAATTTTTTTCCTTGTTAATCTGTTTACAAAAAAAACACGGTTGTAAATATATACGTTATATCCTCCTTTAAAGCTTTCCTTTTTTAAAATGCTAATTTTCATAGGAATAAATTACCTTTTTTTACACGGTTGTAAAAAAATAAAAAATTATCAATAACACCCTTTATGTTTCTAGAAAAAAACACACGGTGGTAAAAACATTCAATTCCTTCCTTTAATATATTCTTCTAAATTGGTAATAATACACAACCAATCATAACCGCAGATCTTTTTCGTACATTGATATCAATGGTGCACGATTATAGTGCATTGGGCGGGAAAAAAATTCCCCTGCTTTTAAGAATAGAGTGATTATTAAATTTTAATATTTTCCAATAATGAAGTAAAATATAAAAGTTTTTAAACGCGATTATGCTGAGAAATATGTGTTTAACAAATAAAAAATTCAATTTCCATAAAATAAGTGTTTTTGTTAACTACGAGTAATTTTTTTAAATATTACTTGCTGACATGGCATGCTGACATGTCAAAAAAGTTGTCTAATAAGCGTTCCACATGTCACAATTCTAGACGTCCAACTTTCAAATTTTATATATAAAGATTTATATTTTGATATTTTGATTGCATTTTACTACATACTATCAACGACATTTCTTTATAAGAAACTACACACATAAATATACCGAGTTGGACGGAAAATATTGTGTGCCCCAAATCATCATCTTCGGCTTGTGATACGTTGGGTTGTTATAGACGTGTGCTGAGTATGCATTCTTATTACACATAAAAAGAAAATTGCAAGATAATAATGTCTCTTATGTGAATAATTCTCTCTTTAATTAATTCCCTCAAAACTAAATCCTAATTAATCTGCTTCACTATCAACACGGATATCCAAACAATAACCATTTTAGGGTAGTTGTTATAATATAATTATATATTACGAAGTGATTAAGAAACCATTAATGGCTTATAGGGGAGATGAAGATTATGACTATTTGTTCAAGGTGGTGCTGATAGGCGACTCCGGCGTCGGAAAATCCAACTTGCTCTCTCGCTTCACCCGCAATGAGTTCAGTCAAGAGTCGAAATCCACCATTGGCGTCGAGTTCGCCACGCGTACTATCCAAGTCGACGACGACAAGATTGTCAAGGCTCAAATTTGGGACACCGCCGGCCAAGAAAGGTAAACATGTAATATTGTCATGAAATGTAGAATTCACAACAATCACATATTTTTAGGCTCTAAATATTGGAAATAAATTTGTTGTTTAACCGCATAATTTACATCATTTAATTTTCTTATTCATCCATCGCGATGATGATCAACCGAAGGAATAGGAATATGAACATTTTGCTAAATGATTTTAGATGTGATTTAGGTATCGGGCAATCACAAGTGCGTATTACCGAGGAGCGGTAGGAGCATTGCTTGTGTACGACATTACTCGTCACATAACCTTTGAGAACGTGGAGCGATGGTTGAGGGAGCTGCGGGACCACACCGACCAGAACATAGTGATCATGTTGGTAGGGAACAAGGCGGATCTCGAGCACCTAAGAGCGGTCCCCACGGGAAGTTCAAGGGCGTTTGCAGAAAGGGAGAACATATTTTTCATGGAAACTTCGGCCCTTGAGGCACTCAACGTCGAAAACGCCTTCACCGAAGTGCTGACTCAGATCTACCGGGTGGTCAGCCGCAAGGCCCTTGACATTGGGGACGACCCAGCCGCTTTGCCCCGGGGAAGGGCAATAAACATTGGGGACAATAAGGACAATTCCAAAGGTAATGGAGGGTGTTGTTCTGCATAATATGATGAGGATGGATCAAATCCATGTAGTCTCTTAGGTGTCATTCTTTTTCTGACATTGTATATACATTTAGAGCCTATTATAAGACATCATTAAAGATCCCCAATGCCCAAAAAGCAAAAAAAGGACTCCATCCAAAAGGTCTTCTCAAGACCAACCAGACAATTACTTGGATTCTCCATTAAAGAAAATTACAAATGTCAAGGAATTTACATCTAATCTCTCATCTTGTTTTGTATGAACTTTGTTTGTTTCTATTGTCCAACAAGATCTTGCATTTCTCATGTTGAATATGCATAAAACATGAGTGCAAAACATGAGTGCAGATTATTGCATATATAGTTTTGGATATACAGCTAACATGTTGGACTACATGCTTAAACACAAACCAGCACCAATCTTTCTTGTGATCTAAGGTGCCATGCTTGAGGGTATTGTACTCGACCAAGCTCCGAGAAATGATCCCCTCACAATCGTCTTCAGGGGGGCACATTATAGAGAAGAAGCTCACCGATAAAAGTGTTGAGAAGTTACGTTCCTGCATATAAAAACCATACACTGCTTACAAAAAAAATTAAGGATCTGTTTGAATGGAGGCCTTAGTTTTAACTGGAGTCTAGAGTATAGATGTAGTAGGGATAACGTGAGTTAAAAGTTGAGGAGATCGGACCCTAAATAGGTGACCCGTGTTTGGAAGTGTTTTGAAAGGAAAATAAGAGTAGACGAGAGTTAATAAAAGTGAGTGAGAACTCACTTATATATATAGCCCTTGATTCTTGAAGCTTTTTACATGTCAAACAAAATTAAGGGGAAAAAAGGAGAAAAAACTGTAAACAAAAAAAAGTAACATACTCTTCCGTCCTTGCATCCCAATTCGGAAGGTAAGAAAAATAAGGGTGAAGAAGGGTACGAAAGACTAACAATCACACATCCTTACTCTTATATACCTTCCCTTACACTCCATCCAGACTCTTAGATGACAACATAATACTCTCTTGATTGTATGGATGATCTAAAGGGTAGTTGTGTTACCCTAAAAAATTCACATTCTGCACTTTAAGCACACCGATTACTCCCTCTGTCCAAAAAAAGGCATACGAAGCTAGTTTATCATATACAACAACAACAATCCAGTATAATCTCAACTCTGTTCGAGTTTGGGAAGTAGTCGTGTCCCTCTTACATAGAGTGTTTTTGTTAGACGCATGATGCATTCATTCATTACTACACAAAACATCATTGAAAGTAAGAAGCAAAGAAGGTTTAATGTGTCATTTGATTTAGTCCATTATTTACCAAAAGCTAAAACATTATCAATTATGACTCTTTTAGCTCCACTAGCCAACATATCTAATCTACAGTCTAATTTGTCAAAATGCCAAAAAAGTCACAGGCAAATAACATAGGATATTTTAGTCGAACCAAGAAATAGATTTTTTAAAAATGGGTATGCTTCATGATTTATCATATATTGCCTGTGGCAAAAAGGGAAAATGTAAAGTTTAAACAAGAACAGGAGTATGATATTAGCACATTACTGAAATTGAAAAAAAGTCTGTTTTGATCAAACATGACTCCCTTTTGGGATGAATATAGCATAAATTTATATTATGGCATGTATGGGAACCATAGTCGAGAGAAACCTATCCTTTAAAACACCTTATCATCATCATCAACAACAACACTTTAATGTCAACAACATTGGGGTTGGTGGACCGTGGATGAGAAACTTATATTGTCAAATCATTGTTTAAAACTATTTTATAAAATAAATTCAGGTAACAATGAAATGTCAAAACCATCATCATATGTTTTATTTGCTTGCATGAAAAATATCATGAGGACCATAAGGTTTGAGTATGCAATGAGTTGATATAGTTAGTGTACTCATCTCTCATATTATCATGACAAAATGGATATTGTAATTTGTTAGATTCATACTTCTAAACTTGCCACAAAAATGTTATCAAATGGCATAGCTTTACAAATTTTGCAAAAATATAACTCCTCATGACTACTACATTGAACCAAGCACAAATTTTTGTCACTACCTACATTTTTCTCTTCTCCCATACCCTCTTTTATCCCCCCCCCCCCCCACCACCCCCCCATTGAACAAAACAAGGGATTGATGTATGTGGAATGTTTTGCTCAAACATTGAACATTTGAACCAAACATAATACTTCAACACCCGTTTTTTTTCCTCTTTCCAGAGGACTTCAAATTTAAGAAATGGGTACAAAACAAGAACAAGAAAAACTTAAAATAGCTTGATTTCCATCGATGACAATGTTGCTGATATGTTCTTTTGATAATTCTTATAATTTAACTACTGAATATGAAAACCGGACAATTGATTTTGGAAGCCCAAGAGAACAGTGAACAAAAAAATCCAGAGGAAGTATTGTTTTTTGCCACTCCCATTTTTCTCCTACATTTCACTCTGTTCTTCTCCCCTTCCCTCCCATCTTTTGATCAAATGAATTCTCAGTTTGATACTAATGGCATCTATTCATGATTCTTGCTCTGAGTGAATTCCATGGTGATGACGACTTTACTTAACCAGATTCATTATGATTAAACACCAATGAATTTTCAAATGACCACCGCATAAAGATAAAAGGAAAGGAAAATCAGGAGATTTAAACACTGACCCTAAATCAAATTCATCATTTGCCATTGGTTTCGCCTTTCGGATCTTCGGAGGAAATTCTCTTCTGGTCAGAATCAAAGGAGGGCAAGGGGTTGCCGCCTTTGATGATCCACCCAATGGCGAAAAAGGACGCGCCGGCGAGTATGGCAGTGCCCCATGCGTGAGAATACCACTTGCTGTATTGCCGAATGGCAAATCTCCATTGCTCTCTGAGAGTGGCGGGATCCGGGTTCACGTGGTCGGGTGGGTTAGGGAACGAATTGCCGCCGGAGTACCCGACTCCATTGGAGCTCCGAATCGAAGCTTTGGGGTGGGATGGGTCGATTGAGGACGGAGGAGGAAGGTCGCGTGTAGGCTTAGGTTTTGGAGAGTTTAGGTCGGACATGGCGGTTGCAAAGAGACGCAGCGGAGACTGAAGAAGATTCGCCACAGAGAGAGGTAGCTTAAATGGATAAGTACGAAATTTCCGAACAAAAAAACAAAATAAAACATTTTTTGTGATCTAAAAAAGTACACTAGCACTAGCACTCTCATTCTTTGGCTTACAAAATCTAACTTCCATTTTTTTTACTTTCTCTGTCCTAAAACAATCTTTCGAATTACTATTCACATGGTCAAATTTAAATCACTTTATTTACCTATTTTTTTAGTTATTTGATAAAATAATATAGTCTTGTCAGCTCTTTTTTTGTAAAACTTTTGATTTAGTTTTAAAATATATAAATTTTATTTTTTAATTTTACTCTTACAATCAAATAAATTGAATTGAAAATAAAGTCGGTTAAACCTCGTAAACACAAACGAGAAGATAGTTTTAGGAAGGAGGGAGTAATTCTTTTCAGTTCGTATCAGTTTCTTCTAACAAAGATTTAAAAAATGTATTTATATGGGAAAATATATAATAACATTATATATCTAAATTTATGAAATATCACCTCAAATACAAAGTTGAAGAATTTTTTATCCAAAGTTGAAGCTTTCTTACATGTTTATTTGAATGACCATTTAATTGAGTGATTTTTTAATACTTAAATTCTTCCAACATTTTCTAACTCTTTTCAACTCTATCCAGATTCTTCCAAAATCCAACTCTGAAATTTCAAGATCAGAACCTACAATTGTTATACCATGTTCTCACTAGAGCACTGTCGTTGGTTGTCAAAGCTCTGCCACCCATCACTGACATTGACCCATCAGTGACCGGTGGTTCACCATCACACTATCATCATTCATATGATATATTGATATCACATTATCAGTTTATCACAATACATAATCTCAAACTCTTATTTAAAGGGTAAAAACAATGACACTTTTATTTTGGTATTTTGATGTGCTTTTAATACTGTGTAGAGAAATTTTGTTTTCTTGATTTAACATAATGACTTTTCAAAAAAGTTAAAAATTAATCCGCAAGAAAGATAGTGTTGAACTTGTGAAAAAGAGAATTTTATCAACATATTTTTTTCATTTCAAGAAAAACTTATCTTCAATAGAGATGGTAAGGCTATTTGGTGTGGGGTTGAGCGTCCTGATCCATGGATTAAAGATTTTTTTTAGCAAACCATAGTTTTATTAAAAAAAAATTGTCTCAAACAATCTCACACTTTTGCAATACGTCAAAAATATATCCATTTTGTATTCAGGTCTTCAATAAGTCCATTTTGTATTCTTTCTGTCGGAGTAAATGATACTTGAGCTACAATGCCTGTGTTTCTGTATAAACCCAATATATTACTCCCTCCGTCCTAAAATTAACTTCTCATTTTGACTTTTGTAGTCAAACTTTTTAAACTTTGACCACATATTACGAAAAAAATACATTGAATTTTCATATAAATTTGTTAGCAATAGATTTATTTTGAAACATAGTTTTGAAATATATAATTTTTATAAAATATATTTATATAAAAATTGAGATATTGATGGTCAAAGTGTCGCATTGGAGACCGTGAAAAGTCAAATGGGAAGTTAATTTTAGGACGGAGGGAGTAAATCCTCTTTTAACTCATATTTTTTCGTTTTTTTCTGTATAAACANACTTGAGCTACAATGCCTGTGTTTCTGTATAAACCCAATATATTACTCCCTCCGTCCTAAAATTAACTTCTCATTTTGACTTTTGTAGTCAAACTTTTTAAACTTTGACCACATATTACGAAAAAAATACATTGAATTTTCATATAAATTTGTTAGCAATAGATTTATTTTGAAACATAGTTTTGAAATATATAATTTTTATAAAATATATTTATATAAAAATTGAGATATTGATGGTCAAAGTGTCGCATTGGAGACCGTGAAAAGTCAAATGGGAAGTTAATTTTAGGACGGAGGGAGTAAATCCTCTTTTAACTCATATTTTTTCGTTTTTTTCTGTATAAACAAACTGAAATGCAGAGTATCCATACCTAGCATAGGTATTAAATAAATACGTATACACAACATAGGAGTAATTCATTAAATATGAATTTAAGTTGGTGGAGCATTTCTAGATGGGTCTGTACATTTATAGCAATAGGAGTTAGCAATTCTCATACATTACCCACAATTAGAGGTGTGAGACTTCCAGTGGGAGGAGCAGACAGGGAAAGAGGGACAACCTCAAAACCAGAGGTCAAGAGTGAAAACTGTGACAGGGACATACATGCCAAAATAAATGAGAAGAAAAAAAGGAAAAGGGGCCTATGGGTCAAAAGGGCCACCCAAATGATTACCAGTGACATAAAGCCCTTCAGAATTTGTTGCAGATTGGCTTGGTGGGGCAGAGGGAATGTCCTTTCCGGCGCTGCCCTTTCCCCTACCCTTCGCTGAGCGCTGTTTGGTTTCGGGAGAAGATTCGGCATTGAGTCTCCCCATTTGCTTCTGCAAATCAGCAACAGAAGGATTATTCGCTTTCCCTTTCGGACTTTTCTTTCCATCCACGAGCTTCAGTTCCAACCTGTATAATGCACATGTTGCATAGTGGTTGATCTCGTATTCATAGAGATGCCACTCCAGGTTTTGCATTGGCTGTGGGTCCATGTAATAGGACCTCTTTAGCCCTCCAAGCTCATTCATCACCTGCTTCCTTGACTCGTGCCAACCCCTGCCGTTGTAATCAGGCAATGACCTTTGCTTTCTGTTCCCACTCTCAAAAGCTCTTCTGGGCTTGTCAAAGAAAAGCCACTCCCTAATTGTTTCACCCTCAATAATTTTTAGATCGAAGAGCTCTGCAAATTCAAAAGAAGATGGGTTTTAGGGTTCAATTTTTGGGATCTAGTGCACATTCTTAGTAAATTTGGTCTTGAACTTTCTTTTCAACACTCTTTGGTCCTCAGCTCATATTCTGTTCGGTGTTTTCACTTTGCATACACTTACGATATACGACTAAATATGCTTGAAATTAAACAACTGAAAATAAAACTGTGTCCTAAGTTGGGTCTAAATTTAGTGGGAAATGACAAACAAAAATACCTTTTTATTTAAAACTAAATATGTATGAGGAATACATTCAGCCCCATCCTAATAATCGAGAACAAAATTGGGTCCATGAAAAAAAAGGTTGAAAGACCAGATTGAGTCATGGTGTATGTTCATGGGGCTAATTCAGGAATTCACATGTTAACTCTTTCATTCATATATGTCTATTAAATATAATGACTAATAAAGCTAAATATGTATGTAAAAGTTTAAATCAAATGCAAACTTTTGTTGCGTTTTCCACAATGGAAAAAGTGGAGGCTGACTAACCAGGAGCATTCCATGGAGATTTTGTAGTTGCTGCACCCTCACACTCAGGAATACCAACATCCTTTCCATTTGCTTTTGCACTGAGAGCTTGGAAAAACAAATTGTCCTTTAAGCCGACACCCATTGGTCTTACAATTGGTGGATGTCCATGAAAACCTTCATTCGGAGCAAGGGAAGCATGGTAGTCACTGCAGTAGTCTTGAGATTTTTGACACCAATCTGACCCCATTGCAGGTCTTGGGCAATCCCAAAGTGCACATTTTGGGCCCAAAAAGGCAGCAGGTGGAGGACTAATATGAATCGCAGGCAAAATATCCTCAAGACAAAGATTTACACCATCGAACCCAGGGAAGTACTGCTCAAAATCTTGATGAAAATCATAAGGTTGATGATCCAATTGTGCTGGATCCATATTAGTAATATCCACACAGTTGACCCCAAAAGGAGCACTTTTGTACTGGTCAACCAACTGAATGTTTTGTTCCTGAAGCACCCGAGTTACATTCAGACCCTATGGGCATACAAAAACCCTTGTAAGTATTCTACACTGAAAACCAAACAGAGGAAAAGAAAACAAATAAATCAAAGTGCAAGAACCCAATGTGCCTTGTCCTCGTATGCTGAATATGCAAAGAAAACTGACAGCATCACCTAAATATCTTAAATGAAGAAGCATCCCCGACCTTCCCGCCAAAACAAAAAAAATTGAACATTCAGCTTTCTTGATTCCCTTGCAGCATGCAAGCATCAAATTAAAAAGAAAAAAAGAAACACATTCTCTAAGAACAATCATATCAAGCAGTTTTTTAATGAATAATGTCCCAGTTAGCATTTAGAAAACAAAAATATAATGAGAAAGGTATTTACCTCTTGATAACCAGCACCAGCACCAACTTTATGTGCATCAGGTTCAGATTTTGGAGCGGCTAATGCACTGGTGGCATCATCTTCCTCCTCACTGAGCTGCACTAGCCTTAGAAGGTCTGATGTGTTAAATTCTAAGCTCCCTTCCTGCAAAGCCATCAACGAAGGCCAAGCCTAAAATCCAAAAGTTTATACAACACAACCAGCCTAAAGGCACTTCCATCATAATGTGGAGTGCAAACCACCTAACAAGATTTCAGAGAGTATATTTGTACTCGTTGCACAAATTTATGCACACTCATCAGCATAAATGTCCAAGTTACATACTCTACTTTTGCGTACACACACCCTCCCCATACATATTCTGGTGGGATTCAACTAGGTTGTTGTTGCATCAGCATAAATGTGCAAGTTACCTGCAAAGAAGAAGCAGGAGAGGGTGCACTGAGCTCGGCCTTCCACTCACGAAGAATCTGGTTAAGCTGTTCCTCCAACACTGTAACTTCAGAAGTACGGCTCTCTTTCCTCAAAGACTGCAGATCAGTGAACATCCCTTGCAGATCATCCACCCGATTTTTAGCCCTATCCTTAAAGAGCTGATAAGATGCCGACTTGCCCACGCCACTCTTTGAATCCTTCCCCATCCCAGTAATGGAAGCTTAATATTCAGTCTTCACCTGCAAGGCAATATGCAGTCCTAAGAAGATTCAATTGCAAGCCACATCAATTTCTTGTTCATATAAAAAATCTTGAATTCCGACTCAATTCAAATAAGTTATTAATTACAATTTTAAAAAAAACTATTTCTACACATGTAGCTGCGCATATTTTGGGAAAGTCCAACAGGGGCTTTTCAAGGCAAATTAGAAAACCCTAATTTCAAATCAAGCTGCAATTCCATTACATCATCCACAAATTTGAAGAGAAATTAAAGCAATCAAGTTAAAAAAACAGGCAAGAAACGTAAAAGAAGCACAAAATCATCGAGAAATTGCACCTGGAAATCGGTTGAAAAAGCGGAAATTGATAGGGATCAATACCTGATTGAGAGGTTGTGATGAACGTCGGAGAAAGGCGGAGGAAGAGGAGACCGAGAAACTTTTGGGTGGTGATTTGAACTCTCTGAAAACAGTGGTTGAAGAGTGGAGACTTGGTTCTTTTCCTATTATGGTGGTGGATGAGGGAATGGCGATTCTGTAGGCGGCAAATGCATGAAGAACCGCCGTGTTGGGCCGCAGGCGATGACAAGAAGATACAGTGTCCCCTGCTCTCTTTTCCAATTATACCCTCTGTGTATCTTTTTTCTGAGTTGGTATACCTAGAAATAGAAATAGATACATCCCGGTAGTACTCATTTTAAAATAAAGTAGTACTGATTCTCGTACAAATATAAATATTCATTTCGAAATAAGTAGTACTCAAATGGAAGGTATTTTAGTATTTTCTATCACTGAACTATGAATAAGTCATCAAAATGATCCTTTCAAATTGAGTATGTGGCTCTTAGAGGAATCGACCCACCCAAGTAGGCTTATGGACTCCATTTCGGAAAAATATTTACTTAGAAATTATCAATTTGGATACATACGTATTTATAAAGTAACATTTCAAGAATACATTTAAATTTATATGATAGAAAATATCAAAATACCTTATATTTGACTGACATGTAATTATTTTAGACTAATTGTTTTAAAGGATCGAACATTTAATTGTTGCTTATTTTAGACTGATTTGGGAAAAAAAACTTTATTAGAAAAGATCGTTTTGAGAATTCACTCTTTTTTTAAATAATCCCTTCTTAACTCAGTACTTTCTTACTCCTTCCATTCATCAAAACAATTCTTATTTTGACTAATGTGAAAAGTAAGAAATATATATATTTATAGTTAATTTTTCAATTTTATATTTAATATGATGAGTAAATTATCAGTGGAAAAAAAATAATGTGATAAGTAGTATAGGAATTAGTAAGGATAAAAGTAACTTTTTTAATATAAATGAAAGTATTTTAGTGAAATAGGAAGTCTTTTAGTTAACAGATGAGTATTTTTATCCCATAGTTATGCGCGAACACTGAAAATTATGGATTATAGTTATCATCAGTGGTTTGTTGTTGGCTGTTGTTTGAACAGCTCGTTAAATTAGTTATTTTGATCAGTTGATTATGTAAATTATTCATGAATAAATGTTTGACAAGCATAGCTTCACGAAAATAGCTGTTGTAGATAAAAGTACATTTGAAAACATGTTTATATATATCACTCCGTTATAAACTTTTTATAATACAAATAAAACATTAATTTATATAATATAACACAAAGTATAATATAGTTTACTTTTATAATCTTTAATTATATATTTATTTCATTACCTCTAAATAAATAATTACTCTACATGTATTTATGTATTTAAAATATTTATATTCAAGTATAAAGGAGTAAAATGACTTATTTTATTCAATAACCACACCAAAAAAGGATTGGAGACGGTAATGATTCGGTTCTAGAAGCGGCAGTACTGGTACCCAGTGGAGCTAGAACCAGTACCGTGTAAAGAAATCATCCCAAATAGGAATAAAATATACTCTAACATTTATCTTCAAAATAGTATTTTTCATGTTTTTATTTCCAAAATAAGAATTTGCACTATGACATTATGGTTCTGTATAGTAACATCCCATAGTATTTTTTGGTACTATATATTGGTATTATACTCCTATTTTGGAGATAAAAAATATAGAACTCATACTTTAGTACTTTATCCATTTTTACTCCTTTTTTAGTCATTTTAGGGACAATTCTGGTAGGTTCATTCCAAACCGGTTCTAAATAAATTTTTTAATAATAGTTTTTTTAAAAAGTTATATAATTGACTCAGAACTCTGTTCTTGGTAAAAATATTGTGAATCATTATCAAACAAATTAAAAATAAGCATAAAAACAAACAAAGACAAAAAAAAATTAAACCGATTCCGAAACTGGTACCAAAAATTAAGAATCAGAATCAAAACATTTCCCCATGGCTCTGGGCAATTCTGATAACCTAGTGGTTCTAGTACGGAATCCGGTTTCGACACCTATTTCGAACTGGAATCGTGTTCAGCCCTACACCAAAATAATACATCATACATTCATTAGTCAATCTCTGGATTGAAAAAATCAAACTACAAACTCCACATGTTTTCAAAAATTGGGTTTTAAGAATTTAACACCGCTTGTAACCTCCATTTGCCAAACAACTTCAGCTGTTTAAATAATTCTACAAGCCATCGTTGGTCAAAATAACTATCTTTTGGCCGAACAGCTATTTTTCAAATGCACCCAAAGTGAAATACTTGCAATATTAATCTTTCGTCATAGTATTTTTAATACTTCTTTAATACGGAGTATAAAATAAATTCTTTATAGAATTTTCATATTTAGTCCGTTATTATTAAATATTTTGGTCGTAGTAATTCATTTATGAGTACCTTTTCATGGATGGTCTTTTATTTGACCTTCTACCATATTCTCCTAATTGAGGGTTAGAAATATAATATTACATCGGCTATGGGTTTGCCCATGTATTCAGATGTCATCTGACGGAAAACTTAATAGAAATTACTAGGCTGTGAACTTAGATTCTGACCTACGACGATAATTGTCAACTATGGTTGCGGTGTGCGGCGATTCCAGCAGACGAACAACCAAACAATAACGGTTCGGTTCATTTTTTTACATTCAGTTTTGGTATTTTTAGTTTGGTTTTTTTTCTAACTCGTTTTGATTGGTTTCTGTTAGGTTTGAGGGAGAGAATTTTATGCATTGTACTTTTTTCCCTTGATTGAGTTTTTATTCCACTGAGTTTTTTCTAACAAGGTTTTTAATGAGACAGTACATAAAATTAAGATGGGTTTCAAAACTACGCCAATTTCACGAAATACACATCGCTAATTAAAAAATAAATATTCAAGGGGAGTGTTGTGAAATTAGTGAATTGTTATTATAAATAGAGGCTTAGTTTCCTGCAATGAATACCATTAAAACCAAGAAGAGTGAAGAATTAATAGAGAGAAGAAATCAGAAATATATTATATTTATTTTCGTAATTTCTGATTATCTTTCTTCCATTTCTTGACATTACAATATTTCTAATACTCTCTTCGTCTCCAATTTGATTACAATTTTTTTCTCTCTCCTCTCGATAATTTTTGTTTGTTTACACGATTTTATTGAGTATTTGATAAAATAAAATATTCTTGTCACGTCTTATTTTGTAGAACTTCTGACGTAGTTTTTTAATATGTAATTTTTCTTTCTTATTGACATACAAATTTTTAAATAAAATAATTTCAAAAAGTGCAATATTTTTATTCGTAAAACTCAATTTGTAATGAAATTGGAATAGAGGGAGTATAAACTATTCCAAAAAATGTAGGCTTGTAAGCTTGTTCGGCCGTTTGTGGAACCCTATAATTCCATAAGGGAAAATGGAAGTGAAAGTTCATATAGGTGTTGTCACTACTCGATGCATTTTGAGAGGATTTGAAACCTCTTTCACATATTTTATCTGATTTTATTAATATCTTATTTCATCTAATCTAATTTAATTTGATTTAATAACATTTCAAATTGTTACTGATATGGTCTGATATGATATTATAGTAATTATACTTTTCACTTTCATTTTTTTATTTTAGAGTGTGTATCATTTTCAATTAATATTCATAAAAAATTGCTCCTCTACCCCACTATTTTTTAGACGCGAGTTAGTGATATCTTTCGTCCATCCACAAATAAACTTCTCGTTTACTATTCACAGGGTCAAACGTTATTCACTTTGTTGGCCTGTTTTCGTAACCCATTTAATAAAATAATAAAGTCATGTCACCTCTGGTTTTGTAAATCTTTTGATATAGTTTTTTAATATGTAACTTTTATTTTTAAATTTTATACCATTTTTAATGTAAAATATTTTGAAAATAACTTCAGTCAAATATCGTAACGCGAAACGGAAAGTTTATTTGTGGACGGGGGAGTACAAATTAAATGGAGTTCTATTTACCATGCATCTATAAACTCTGAAAAGAGTTGTAAGAAATTGTAACAATTAGAAATTATAACCCAACGAACAAAGCCAGAAGAAGGGGATTCTTATACTATAAAAATTTCATGGAATATCATTGTAAAAAGATTAAATTCTAGGAGCTAATTAATCTCTGAGTCCAAAATAAAATTCCAAAACTGAATAGATAATGTAGAATTTTATGAAAATCAAACTACTTTCTCATTAATTAAGATAAGTATACATACAAATACAACAACAATAAAACAACAACCCAATTGAATCTGACACCGAGATAAGGAACAATTAAAGGTTAACAAAGGAAAAAGTACTGCAATCTGACACATATGAAGCATTGACACAATATTTTTAAAAGTTCGGGGACCATTGGTGCAATTATTAAAATTCAGCAGGATTTCGCATAACTTTGTAAGACTTCGAGATAAATGGTGCAAAAAACACTCATTTTTAAAGTATTGGAATAAATTTTAATAAGTTTTCACATTACTTACAAAACATTGCCTAATTCTTACATATAGAATGACACCCTTGTTAAAAAACAAAAAACTCATTTGCCACACTCGGAGAAAGACTAAAGTAAGATTAAAACATTGAATATATATCAAAATAGGACATCTATGTTTTTATTTTCGAAATAGAACTTACATTACCGAACATGGTCATGTATATTACCAAAAAAGTATAGTAATGTGCACATGTACAGTGCCACATTATCACAATGAGAAGTCCTATTTTGGGGAAAAAACATAAAAGTCTTATTTTGGTATTTTTCTCTATGTTTTAGTTCTATTTAGAGTGATTTCTATACTCCCTAACTAATATGGAGTATTTCATACTCCTTCTGTCCCAAAAAAATTGTAACATTACGCTAAACGAAGCAAATTTTTTAAGTTTTTTCATTTCATTTTATTTAAAGATTAGTATAAAAATAAAAAATAAAACTTGCATATTTAAAAACTATGTCAAAAGTTCTAAAAAACAAAAGATGACAAGAATATTTTATTTTATCAAATAATCAATGAAAACGCGAAAATAAACAAAAGTTGTGATGATTTTGAATAGTGAAGTGTGACAAACTTTTTGGGATGGAGAGAGTATTGAGTGTCATGTAGAGTCTGGTTAGATTTGTCTCCTCAATATGAGCTTTTGTAATATCATACATTTTTTTATATAACTTTTATGAAAACATAACTCAAAATATTATTGATTTTTTGAATTCATATCTATAAAGAGAACACAGGGAATTGATACCATACATCCATCCTATAATCAGAGCATTATATTAACATACAGCTACTTTCTCTAATTACTCAAAATCTTCTGTCTTCTACAATCTCTCTCATTTCTCCTTTAATGGAAGCCAACAGTAGACCAGAAGCCACCATGGAAATGCTTCAAGCCCAGGCTCATATCTACCGGTACACATTCGGCTACGTAAACTCCATGGTTCTTTGCTTAGCCATTCAGCTAAACATTCCAGACATAATCCACGCCCACGGCAAGCCAATCACCGTTCCCCACCTTCTTTCAGCCCTCAAACTTGCGCCCGCGAAATCGCACTTCATTCGTAGCCTCATGCGCCTCTTAACTCACAACGGCTTCTTCGATTCAAGAAAGATCAACGAAGAAGACGAAGAAGAAGGATATGTTCTCACAGCTTCTTCAAGGCTACTTCTCAAAAATCAAGTTCCAAATCTTTCCCCTTTCGTCCTCATCATGACGGAACAGGTGACGTTGGGCCCGTGGCATGTGTTGACCGACTGGCTTTCAAGAAAAGACGAGTTGGGCCCATTTGAGATCGCCAATGGGGTTCCTTTCTGGAACCTTTGCGACACAAATCCAGGGCTTAGCACTGCCTTCAACGAGGCGATGTCTAGTAACACGAGGATGGCATGCTTCGTGTTAAAGGACTGTGGCCATGTCTTTGAAGGGCTAAAAACTTTAGTTGATGTCGGAGGCGGCACCGGAATGATTGCTAAGCTCATCTTGGAGGTGTTCCCAAGCTTGAAATGCACTGTGCTTGATCTCCCCCGCGTTGTCGCAGACTTGCCGCAGTCTGACAATCTGAGGTTTCTCGGAGGGGACATGTTTCACTCCATCCCTCCTGCAGATGCCATCATGTTGAAGGTATATATGTAGAAAATCTTAGACAAACGGAACTTGATTTCATTAAACTTAAATCCGCTTTTTATAATAAAGTTTTTTGCGCCCTTTACCCCCGAACTCTTCAAGAATTGCGTGGATTCCCCCTAAAGTTTAAAATTTGCACTAGTGATCCCTGAACTTTTAAGAACATTGCGTCAATGGTTTCTCTGTAACAGGTTTGGGTGTGCGTTAATCACACGCTCGTCTAGTGCATGTATGAATTCATCTAAACTCATATATCACACGTGAGTCCTGCAATATGCTTTTCCAAAAATTATCTCTATATTTTTAACATCTTGAAATCCTAGATAATTATTCTTATTTTAGCCGTCGGTAACCAAACTCAAAGCTTGAGCATTAGTCGATCAAGCTTTTCATTAATTCATCAGCTTCATCATCAATCCATGACATCTTCATTAAGCTCAAACAGGTATACTGATGAGCGTGTTATTAACACACGGCCAAATCTGGGACAGGGGGGCCATTGATGCAACGTTTTTAAAAGTTTAGGGACCATTGGTGCAGTTTTTAAAATCCAAGGGGAATCCGTGCAATTTTTGAAGAGTTAGAGGATAAATGACGCAAAAAACTCATTTATAATAGCAAAAAAATTGACACCAAAACCAAATACAATTGCTAACAATAATACATTACATATTACTAGTTAACAATTGTTGCTAACATTCATTCATTCATGTACTATTTGTAGCACATTATGCATGACTGGAGTGACGAGGACTGTGTGAAGATACTCAAAAAATGCAGAGAAGCTATCATCAACAATGGTGCAAAAGGCGGCAAGGTTATCATCATCGACATTGTTATAGGCAAAGAGAAAGACACGATGACTGAAGTAAAACTCATGTATGATACAGTGATGATGGTTCTTCTCGCTGGGAGAGAAAGAACAGAAAAGGAATGGGAAAGACTCTTCACAGAGGCTAGGTTCACTCGCTATACTATAAAACCCATTTTTGGCATTTGGTCCCTCATTGAGGTGTTTCCTTAATTAATCACCACTTGTCATGAGCCACAATGATTTGGGACATCATCACCATCAAACTCCTTAATGTTCAATATATAAGTCAATAAAAGAGACCAAAATAATGCTCTATCGAACTAGAGCTCTAATTTGTTTGCTCTATGATGAAACTACGTTATGTATACTCAATGTGTTTATATATTAATAACACTTATTGGCAACTTATACTAAGTATAACGGAGTAAAATATGAATTCGGGTAACAAATATGAACGGTTGTACGCTTGTTAACAACCTTAAACGTGTACATTCATAACAGTCAAATTTATGCTAGAAGTACAGAAAATCTAGTAATCCTTGACAAGAAATTCGGAAAACATAAGTTTGTATAATGAGATTACCATGGTCCATGGCCAGGTTCCTACATAAGGAACAGTGCAGAGCAGTAGTACCCTAGAACAATAGATCAAGAAACCTGGATACAAAATTACAGCAAACAAAGTTAGGTCACAAATTAATCCATTTCAATTTTCAAACAAAAAAAAAGGTGATAAACTAAATACCCAAGAATCATAAGCTTAGATAGACCAAAAATTTTAGGAAAAATGCAGCAAATACAAAATGGATTGCAAGAAAATTGGGGAATCCCTACTAGGATTTCATATATCAAAGAAATCAGCATCCAAAAGTTCCAGATATGGTGGATACTAGAATTTCATATATCAAACCATCAGATCATCACTCCCCTCCTGGTTCACATAAAAGGGAAAATAAAATGGAGAAATTGATTTGAAGTTTCATAGATCTAAACCTGACGAGCCAGAGAGAAAAAAATGGTTTTGCAGCTAGAGGAAGAAGAAGACGAATTTTAACGGATGGTGTGTTTCCCGGATTTTCTTTTTAGAACAGTAGTGGATTGGGCTTGGGCCACAAAACTCAAAAAAAAATCGTGGCCTATGCCACAAACGTGAGATTTTGTAACAAAAACCTAAAGTAAAGGCGCCCTGGCCCGAGTCAGAAATCAATCAAACAGTTCGGATAAAGTTTTTACTTCTCAAATAGTAAAATAAAAAAGGATCATGCTAGGGTGCTACCATGGGTGCACCCATGCATCGCACAGACAAATACAGATGATAATTGTCTGTGTCACCCATGGTAGCACCCATGTGGTGGCACCATATCATTTTTCAATAAAAATTTATTTAGTTTCTTGAATCGTTTTCGATGCTCATTTGATAAAATAATATAATCATGTTACCTTTTCTTTTGTAGATTTTTTATTTAGTTTTTTAAGATGTAATTTTTATTTTATAATTCCACACCATTTGTATTATAAAATGATTTGAAAATAACTTCAGTCAAACATTATCCTATCGCGCTCAATGAGAAGATTATTCTTGGACGAAGGAAGTAAATTTTGTACTCCCTTCACCCCTAAAAACATGGGAGGTGTTGTTTTTTAAGAAATTTTAAGGGAAATGTATTTTGATATTGAGTTTCCAAAAATGTCCTTGATGTGATGGATAAAAGTAAAATTCAATGGTAGATTAATAGTGAATAGATGTAATGTGATAGGTGGTGGGGATAAAGAAGATAACATGGATAAATTGATGAGAGTCGTGTACAACAATTTCAGATTGAATGTTTTGGAAGTTCAATCCAAAATTCAATCGGATAAAACACAAAGTTATCAAGAACAAGTATGAATTTATTGTGGATTTTCGAACTAAGTTTTGGCGACCAAGAATCAATGATTTTATAGAACTGCGGAAGGGAAGAAGGCTGCGGTCGCGTCTCTCGTCCAAAACGCACGTCTCTTTGCGCGATTCTTGAGAAAATGGTGCTTATCTTTTATTTCGAAATTTTCCTTTAGGAAATTAAAAAATTAAAAATTCAAATGGATTTTTAACATAGTACTTTTTCCAAAATAAAAAATTTTCGAGCTGACCTGCTAGTTAGGGGATCTGCCCTTTGGACCCAGCAGGGGTTGACGCCCCTTGAACCTTGCTCGGGGGTACTGCCCCTTTGAAACCCTGTTAAAACAAGATTTTTATCTTAACAAACTCAACGAAGCATATAATCCGCATCACCAAACTTCTTTGATGATTATTAAAATACCATTGGTAACATAGTTTTTCCAATTACACTAAAATATATAACAATAGGTGGGTTAAGAATTCGTAAGGGCAAAATTGATTTTTTAATATAAATGAAAAATGTGTTTGGCACGGATGAAAAAAATGAGAAAAGTTTTCAGGACGGATGAAGTATTTCATGTTGTGCACTTCGCGAGGAAAACGAAAGAAAAAAGACAAAAAAAAACCACCTACTGAAAAAAGGAAACAAAAAAGCATACAAATAAGATACTACCTCCGTCCCTGTGTAGTTGTCCAATTTTGACTTTTTTCAATCAATCGTTTTTAACCTTTGACCTATATTTAGATAAATATATATTGTATATTAATTAGATAAAATAATATTTGATATAATAAATCTAATAAGTTTATTTTTGTATCAGTATCTAATGTCATTTTTATTTAATTTAAGGTTAAAATTTATCAATTTTGACGAAAAAAGTCAAAAATGGACAAATACGTAGGGACATAGGGAGTAAAACAATAAATGGAATAATAAATACGGAGTAATTAAGGGGGGTGTATTCAACTGAGAATCTGTAGGATTTTTTTGGACTTCTAAAATCTGAGGATATTCAATCTAGATTTCTGAAAATCTTTTAAAATCCTAAGGTATTCAATAAAGATTTTAAAAAATCTTTAGGTATTCAAAAGTCAATGAATTTTAATACTCCATAGATTTTGCTGGATTGTCACCCAAAATATTGCTTATCTCAAATCTCTTCTCAGATGTTCAGATTTCGATGGATTTGGACAAAGCAATTGTGTAGACTACAGTCTACACCAAACCCATCACCATCCTGGCCGTGCTCCTTCTGTGGTGTTCATTTCCAGCCGCCGGAAGGTGGTGTTCTTCTCGTAGGTATATAATTGATGAAGAGGGTGTTTGAGATTACATTTGAAAATAACTTATAGCTTCTACTTTACTAAAACACAATTTTAAATGTTTGCTAATCTGCTTTACCTTATAAATTATGACTTTAAAAGTTAAAATTAAGGTCTAGAAGTGCTTTCTAGCAAAACTACAAATACATGTTTTCTGCTTCTAAATTATGACTTCTACTTTTACATAATTCACCACACTTCCAAGCACCCTCGAAGAAGGGATTAAAAAATGTTTCGCTGCATTTCACGTTCATGATGCAATCCTTGTTTTGGTCATCATTGATGATTTTGCTGATTTCTTTGATGATGGGTACTGTTTGGTTAATCCTTTCCACTACTCCCTCGTCCCCGTATTACTAGTGCCCGGTGGAAGGTGTGTTGGCCTGCAGCCCTCAACCTCAAGTCCTCAAGTGTATGGAAAACCCAGCCCCCGTGCCATGACCCAAAACAAATCCATGGAATCTATGAAGTCCATGTAAATTAATAGAAAATTGGACAAAATCTACAAAATGAAGAAAAGAAAAAAAAAAATAGCAATAGGAAAAGAGAGAGAAAACAAAACCAATGAAAAAAAGAACGAAAAAGCATAAAAAAAATTGAAAAACAAAATCTAAAATAAGAGAGACTGAAAAAAATTAAAAGAAGAAATGAAGTTTATATACCAACATGAAACAAGAACTCTATCATCGATTTCAAAGTTTATACACAATCCGTTTCTTGAAACACTTTCTTTTATTTTTATTTTTTCCCACAAAACTTTAACTTTCTAATAAAAACTCACTTTTAAATTTACCCTTACGTTTTCTTATAATATCTACCACATCATACTTGTTTTACTAATAATCTACTCATTTCGACATCACATTTTGATTTTAACTATCATATCAAGAGCAAATTTGGAAAATCAACTTCAAACAATCATTCTTCATCTTTGTCCAAAGTCAATATATGAAATATTTATGGGAACGGAGGGAGTATATTATTGCAAGAAAAATTAAAATTTATTTACCGATACGAAACAACTATCGAAACAGACAGGTACCATCGGCGAAATATACCCGTTAATTTGATAAAAGAAAATGAATGGCATCAAATGGGTTACAAAAGCTGGTTTGGTCCCCGGGGTGGGGGGGGGGGGGGTGAGGCAGAGGACAAGTCACGCTGAGAAGCAAAGGGGAAGGGGGGACAGCCCATTAAAGCAAAGCGTCCAGAGAGGAGTCAGCGAAAAAGTCGAGCGACTTCCCCTGCTGACATTTTAAAAAGAAAAAAAGAAAAAGTACGGTAAACAAAACTAATCCCGCAGTTGTCAAATTGCCCCTCACGCGCGCCTTTCGTACTTCATCTTTACCACGCCACCGTTTTACCCCTTTTCTCTCCCGCATTTTTCGTAATGCTACTATGGAAAGGAATAAATTACCGCGGAGTACTCTAAATTTTGTGAGAAGAATTGTTAGGTTTCATTATTTTTTAAAATGTATAATGAGGTATTTTAAAATATCAAAAAACTACATTCCGTCACTTTCTCCGTTAACTCCTCCTCCCTCTTCCCCAATTTCGATCGGATCTTCTTCTTCTTCTCCCCCTCCTCCTCCTCCTCCTCCCTCCGCCTTCGGATCTCATCCAGCCCTCCACCCTCCCTTTTCTTCTTCTATTTTGTTTTGAATTATTTTTCCTTCTTCTTCTATTATTATTATTTATTAAGTATTATTATTATTATTAAAATTAATTAGTATTTTCGCCACTTTAATTTTTAAGAAAATAGTGGAGTAACACTTATTATTATAACTTCATATTTATTATTATTTTCTTCTTATTCTATTATTATTATTAATTACTCCGTATTATTATTTACTTCTTATTATTTTACTTTTCTACTATTGTTTTAATATATAATTATTATTATTAAAAATTAATGAGTAGTTTTATTACTCTATTTTAAGAAAAATAACACTTATTATTATTTATAAAAACAGCACTTATTATTTAAAATAAAACTTAATATTATCATTATTAAAAAATTTATTAGTACTTTCACTATTCTAAATTTTTGTCATTCAATGTTGTTTTCGCATTAGTCATGCAGTAGTCATCGATAGCCGCCATGATGAAATGCGACGTATAATTTATAACGAAGTGTATAAATAATCTTAATTTTATAAACTATACATAAATATATCATACTAAAATTAATTTTTAATTAAAGCTTAAAAATATTTTAACCTTCTTTTACTAAAGTGAAAAATTGGAAATTGGAAAAAGTCAATGGGGGCATACAAAGTAAAATAATAGAAGAAAATAAAATAATAAGAAGTAAATAGTAATTATTAATGTTATGTTTCTTAAAAAAGAGTAGTAAAACTAATAATTGATTTTTAATAAATTGGTCTGCCCAAGGGCGGGCTAAGGTGCTACTCGCCAAGATCCTTTTTTCGGAGTCTAACATTTTTAATTTTTTAAATATATGTAATGTATTTTTTAATAAAAAATGAAAAATTAATTTTTTGAGATAGTTATTACGATATTTTATTTTTTATGTGTTTTATTATAATGTTAATCATTTTTTAAAGAAAAATAATTTACATAATTTCGTTTGTTAGGGCAAGATACATTTCCTTTTTCTCGTTTAGGGCCACCAAATCCTCTAGACCAGCCCTGAATATAGTGTACCTCTAGCATTACTCATTTAATTTTGATTCCCAAATTTACATGCTCCCTCCCAAACATGGCAATTGGATCTTTGGATCAATTCCAATTTGGCTTTATTTGATTCGGATATTTATCGGATATGTGTTATAATCGATTTCATTCGGTTTAAATTTGGTACAAATTTAATTTGGTTTTCTATAATTTTGAAGTTTAGTTCAAATATATTTCAGTTCAAATATATTTCGATTTTGGATACGTTTCTGTTAGGATATATTTCAATTTTGG